TTATGCGATTTATAATAGATGTAATAAAAATATAGTAAAAAATCTATTTACTAAAAATATAAAAATTTGTTTATATTTTATATATACGCTATTTATTTGCTCAAATGTTCTATTTATTTAATAATAAATTTATTAATAAATTTAAAAATTATATATTATATACATATATAGTATACACATATTTTATATATAGTACACACACTATATATATATATATATTTATAGTGTATGTGTGTGTATATGTATACACACACACACACACATAATATATTGATCACTTTTACCATTGTTTTATTCAATTATATCTATATATATTCTGTATTTATTGCTAGATTTATTTTTGTAATTGTAACTTTTATTTTAACGTTGTTTTATTCAGTCATTTCATTCACAGTGCCATTAAAATTAATAAATGCAAATGAACTGCCCAAAACCCCTGAACTTATATTTCCATAGCATAATTTTGAACTGATTGTTTAATATATTGTAAGTTCAAAAATGACACCAAAGTATACATTTGGCTTTAACTGTCCTTCTTTTTCCGTTCATTCTGGCAGTTTGTATGAACTTTACATGGATTCCCAATGGGAGAGTTGTAATTAGGTATTTTTAATTGTCTGAAGTATTTTCAAAATAACCAGATGTTATAAACATGTCTCGTCAAATCATGCAACCAATTACGGTGATTCAAACCACAAGCTCATGGAGAAAATGATTCCTCCTTTAAGTTGGTTTTAGGTTTGAATCGACATGTTGTATTTACTTTTGTGAATTATGTCGAGAGCGCAGGGCTTTTCTCTCAAACCTCATTTCATGTTATTTAAACCACCAGATGCTTTCGAGCAACTAAAATACTGTATGAAGATGAATCGCTTGCGCCATATGTCCATGTCATAATTAGTGCCTCAGACAGGCAGACTACACAGAAATTTGACTTCTCAGTAAAGGTTCATGAAAATATACATGCAGGGTGGGACTGTCATGTGACCCACGAGTCACATGATATCATGAAAGCTTTCTGAGCTGGTTTCCATGGTGATGGATGCTGTGACGCAGCACAGAGTAAATATTTGGTCGTTTTCTTTGATTCGAGACTTCCTGAGCGTTGCTCAGAAATGTGTGTATTTGTTTATAACAAAACACTTATCCAAGACAGGGCATTTTCTTTTTCATTTTTTCAGCTAGTGTACCTGATTGTAACCCATTTAGAATTTTTAAATCATTTAAATAAGTTTTTGAAATATACTTCAAACCAATGCATTCAACTAGGTACAATAATATTGCATTATTATTATATTATTATTTCAGTGTTCAGAAACAACAGTTTTAGTATCTTTAGCTCCATCTATTGGTTGTTTGATGAGATTGCAACTGTCCTGCATTTTAAAGGGATATTATCATATCATCAGAAAATGTAAAATCAGAATGAATGATAATTGTGTTATTCAAATATGAAATGCAAATCCCAATTATTTAGGATTGTGTCAATATAAGGCCTTTTACAACTATATTATTAGCTGCATATTTTAAATATAATACTATATATAATTTAATGAATTTATGCATTTAGCAGACACTTTTATCCAAAGCGACTTACAGTGCATTCAGGCTATACATTTTTTACCAGTATGTGTGTTTCCTGGGAATCGAACCCATGACTTTTTGACAACACAATGCTCTACCACTGAGCCACAGGAACACTAAAACAAGACTGCGGTTTTACTATTATATGTATTAGAGAGAGAGAGAAATTATAGAAATTAACATCTGTGTGTGTGACATAGAAATAAATAATTCTTGATGTTTTGGAGGGGGAAAAACAGATAAAAAAAACATTTTTTAAAATTTATTAATCACATTTTTATATAGTTTTCATGACATTTTATATGCACACATTTTCAGGCAGTGCATGGTATAGTACTTTCCAATAGATATATGCAACACACATTTGACACAAACTGAACCACAATGTTCACAATGGGGTACTGACATCAGTACACGACCAGAGGAAGAAGAGTTCTTCATCATCATCATCAGTCATTAGTGTCATTCAGCATCTGTAGATAATATTCATCTCCCCCAAACCCACTTTACTCACGCGCTCCAAAAGTATTAGTCCATCTGACTCGTTTCCACTCCCTTTGGCAGTTTTTTTTAACAGTATTGGCCAGTATTGTTCGTTTATTGTGTTTCATTTTATTGTTTCTTGTCTCTTCTGAAAACACACTCCCAGGCGCTCAGAGGAAAGCCAGAACTGCCATTAGCATAGAAAAGTCTTATTGCTCCCGTCTGTGAATTAGAAACAAGGAATTTCAAATGTCAGATCCGTCCACCTAGAATGTTACGCAACTGTTACATTGTAAACTCAACATGGGTGGTTTCCAGAGGCGTTGTTATGCTCTGAATGTTATAAGTTTTTTAGAATGTTGCTACATGGTTGCTAGGGTGTATTGCATGGTTGCTAGGTGGTTACATACTGGCCTAACAGAGTCTCTGTGGAATTTTTTTTTTTCAATCATAAATAGTGATGCTTAGTAGACATGAAATCTTTGGGATATATTTTCTTTATGATGTTAAAACCATGTAGCTACAAACTCTCTAAAATTGTCAGTGATCCTTCCTCCAATCAAATGTCAGAGAAATCATTTCCATCCCTTTGATAAGGCCAGATAAATCCAAAAGGGATATGCATATACTGTTCATTTACACTAATGAAAAATATGCTGTTTTATCTAGAAGGCAGTACAGTTTTTGTCAAAAACACTGTTTTTTTGTTTTCTAATTCACAGGAGTGGCTCAATAAAATTCATATCGTGTGAAAGTCAGTCTGCGTTGCATTACAGTGAAATTGTTGATGCAAGTAACGTTTAATTAAAGGGGTCATATGTTGCGATTTCAATTTTTCCTTTCTCTTTGGAGTGTTACAAGCTGTTCGTGCATAGATAAGATCCCTAAAGTTGCAAAGACTAAAGTCTCAAATCCAAAGAGATATTCTTTATAAAAGTTAAGACTTGTCCACGCCCTCCTAAAATAGCTCGTTCTAACACGCCCCCACATGTCTACATCACTGTGTGGGAAGATTTGCATAACACCGCCCAAATGTTCACGCAAAGAAAGAAGGCGTAACTTTGATTGTCGCTGTAGTATTGTTGTTGCCGCCGGCGCCATGTTGTGGAGATGCTGTGTGCTTTGTTGTGAAAGTGAAACTACTTTGTTTGGTCTTCCAAAAGAGGACGATATCTGCTTCGTCATGCCTGGAGCTGATCCGTGCTGGTCGCTGAGGAAATACATCAACTTCGCGCTGTGGATCGCCGGATCAGCTTTCACCGTGGACGAAGCGGAGTCCAGCCCGGGGTCGTCTGGATGGCCACATATATGGCCACCCTAGATAGAAATCTCAGTACAAACTCCTCCTGGATCCTTTTTTCATGGGTGAATTTCACCAAACATGTCAAATAGAATCAAAAGGAAAATAATAAATGATATTTTATGTAAAGAAAACAAAGCTTATTTAAAAACAATTTAGATTTCTTATATTTTGTATAGCCTAATTAAACTTAATTATACAAAAACATTTTAAACTTAAAAATAAACAATAACAAAATTATTGTGCTGCTTTTCATTTTTCAGTTCATGTTATTTTAAAGTTTAATTAGTATTTTTACTGCAATAAAGTAAAAATACTGTATTTTAATTAGAATAATTTTATATAATCATATATTATACTTATGACAAACTTAAAAGCAAAATGTACTTATTCAATAAAGTAATTTGAAGTTAAAATGTGTTTAAATGTCATGAAAATGACATGTAGAAGCAATGCAAAAACTGATTTAGTCTTAGCAATATAGCAATAATAGCTTAATTTTCTTCACGTAAAATATGGTGTCTTATTTATTCCTTTTGATTTTAGAGGTGAAATATGACCTGGACATGTTAGCAATGCCTAGGCCCACACATAATCTGAATATTCCATTAATATTATTTTTTTGTGCATTTTTGCTAATTGTGGGAAAAAAAAAAAGAAAAAAAAAAGGGAATTTTGTGGAATGGTTTTAATTTGGGAAAATGTCAAACTGAGCTGAAAGCCTTCTCAAATTAACAAACATTTTTAATAAACAAACACACCAGGGTGCAAGCTTTGTAAATAATGAGTGAATTTTGCAGAAATCTGTGGGCAGTGATTTCATGCAGGCCTAGCAATGCCCAAACATCTTCAGCAGAGTTTCCATATTCTAACAGATGATGAATCACAGTCGATCCTCTTGCCAGCTGACATTATAATTAAACTCACACCTGCTCAAACCAGAGATCACGTCTTCTCGTAATCTCATCTGATCACCTCCACCTTGAGCTCGTTTCTGAACCACCAATTACTTCAGTCCAAAGGTGGTGAAGCCACAGCGGCGCTGTTTTGCATGAGGGTAATTGGGCTGCTGTCTGCCAAAAACGGCACTGTGGACTTTTACCAACAGACATATTCTAAATGTATTGCTGAAAACATGCTGTAATCTGTTTGGTGCAGAATCCAAGACTGAAGAGCTTGCTTTAAATACTTGCTGATCAGTGCACATGAAGTAAGTTTGTTACTTTGAACACTTTGAAGTCTGATATTTTGTTCTGTTTTTGATGACATCTGGAAATTAGCCAAGTAGATGTTCTTTGGTGATTTGTTGCTCTTAAATTAATAATTTCTAGTAAATATTCATTGTCCAAATCCTAAAATCATAGGGATATGATTGAGTGATGAAAATGCCCTAAACTTAAAATATGAAATCTGATTGGCTGACTGTAATATTCTTCCATCACAAGCAAGGATGTTGATGAAGGAACATGTTCTACTTGGCTAAATTGAGTTTAGCTAAATTTCAACAGGCATAAGAAGCCGATACCCAGATAACAATGAATGTTTTCAGAACTTTGGCTAATGTTCTGGCAGGGTTCTCTCAAAGTTATGAACAAATGTTCTTCCAGTAATACTAATAGGACATTTGTTCCGAGTTATCTGGTCTTTAATAATGTTCTCAACATGTTAGCACAAAAACATTATTTCTACATTGTTTAATTTCTAAAATGTTTGAGTTGGATCTTTTTTTTTTTTTTTTTAATTCAAAAGTAACGTTCTCATAATGTCTGGAAAATTATTAAATAGAATGTATCCTCAAGGGGCCATTCACACAGAACGTGTTTTTCCAATCCAATGTGGTACTTTCCATTGTTTTTCTATGTAAATGTGTTAGATGTCTTCTGCAGTGTCTTGCACATGAGCGGATTGTTTTTAAGATGGCGTGTCACTTTAAAAGAACTTAAACTTTTACACACAGTGCCACACATCAATGTCAGTTCAAAAACAGTGGACTAATCAGAAGACCCTAGAGGCAAGCCTTGCAAACTCCATAGCAAGTTGGCATGGCAACTGTTGTTTTTTAAAGTGGTCATACGATGCGATTTCAATATTTTCTTTCTCTTTGGAGTGTTACAAGCTCTTGGTGCATAAAGAAGATCTGTAAAGTTGCAAAGACTAAAGTCTCAAATCCAAAGA